AGATGGCTCTCTGGGATCTGATGCCCCCTGGTGGCTCGTTAGATGAGCTTGTAGAAGATTGGCATAGCCAACTCATGGCAGCCATCAACAAGAGCGCTCCCCGATGCCCTCTTGCCCTTGCCTTGCCTTGCACTGGTTGCCCTCATGGACGACCTCTGGAGGCATCTGGATCAGGGCGGATTGGCAGCAATTCTCCCTCTAAATTGTGGAGTCTTGTGAGCAAAAATTCTACTTTCTGAGCTACTGGCATTAAAGTTGTGATCAAGCAATTTGGCTACAGCATAAATTAGTTTGCTCTGGAGCCATCCTTCCTGAGCTAAGACAAAAATGGGAGAGCTGGAGGCTAAAAAACTGTGAGCTAGCTCACACTAACTCAGCTTAGAGGGAACATTGATCGGCAGTGCTGTTGTTGGACCTGTTGGCAGCATTTGACCCAGTGGACCATCAGCTACTGATCCACCACCTTGCTGATGCTGAAGTCCAGGGGCTTTCCTTGCAATGGCTTGCCTCCTCCCTCCAAGGTTAGGGACAAAGAGTAGCACTAGGGGAACAGCTATCCTGAAGGCACCCACTGGATTATGGAGTGCCCCGGGGGGGGGGTGCTTTCCCCAATGTTATTTAACATCTATATGCACCCCCTTGCCCAGATTGCCCGGAGGCATGGGCTGGGATGTCACCAGTACGCTGATGACACCCAGCTGTATCTGTTGTTGGGCAGCCAGTCTGACTCTAAACCAGAAGGTTAGACTGGGCGTTACAAGCCATGGTTGGATGGCTTAGGCTGAGCCGATTGAAATCGAATCTGATGAAGACGGAGGCCCTACGCCTGAGCCAGGGTGGGCCAAGGGTAGGGATCCCACTCCCAACCTTTGATGGGGCTCCGTTGGTGCCAGCGCCAGAGTTGAGGAGTTTGGGAGTGCTCCTAGATGCTTCCTTAACAATGGAGGCCTACGTAGCTGCCACTGCCAAGTCAGCCTTTTATCACCTTTAGCTGATCAGGCAGCTGGTTCCCTTCCTTGAACGCAACAACTTGGCAACAGTGATCCATGCGATGGTCACCTCAAAATCGAACTACTGTAATGCCCTCTACATGGAACTGCCCTTGTCTCAGAACTGGAAGCTACAGCTAGTACAAAATATGGCGGCCAGCCTTCTGAAGGGTGTCCCTATGCAGGAGCATGTGCATCCTGTGCTGAAAGCACTGCACTGGCTACCGATAGTATACCAAATTCGATTTAAGGTGCTGGTTCTTACCTTTAAAGCCCTTTATGGTCAGGGCCGACATACCTGAGGGACTACCTTTCCCCACATGTACCACAGAGAGCACTGCGGCCAGGGTCCTAAAATCGACTGACCCTCCCAGGTCCTAAAGACGGCAGGCTGGCCATAGCCAGGGCCTTCTCAGTGGCGTCTCCATACTGGTGGAATGAGCTCCCAGAAGAGATCAGGACCTTGTGGGACCTTATGCAGTTCTTCCCCTAGACGTTGGACCTGAGCATTAAGGAGCCACCACCAATAATTGTAAGGCCTGTCCTTTGGAGTCACCAAGAACAGCCTGTGCCTGCCACATAAGAACAAGGAGTGGATCAATAGGACAGATCATCGCATTGTTGCCACTGTCGCCAAAGAACATTGTTATTATTAACAGACATAAAATGTACTAGCAATTTATGATATTTGGATTGTTTTTCAAAGGTTTTATGATTGTTTTAACCGTTGCCTATGTGTTTTAATCCTTTCTGTAAGCCACCCTGAGCCTGCTTCGGCGGGGAAGGTGGAGTATAAATTTGATAAATGAATAATAAATAAATAAATAAATATGATGATAGCTGTCCAGCTACTGAAAAGTGGGCTGGAGGTGGGTGGGAGTGGGCAGTATGAAGAAAACGAACAGAAACATTATGCATGAGGGAAAAGGCTAGTCGAAATCGGCTTCCAGAAAAAGACTGGAGTAAAAAGTGATCCCAAAACACCTGGGGGTAAAAACTGCAAACCCAAAGCAAAAACTAAAGGCACAAAAATGCATGCGGAAATCAGAGGATAAACCAAAGCCTTACGGTGCCTGAATCAAAGAAAAAAGGCCCTGAGTGGTTTTTGTGAACATGTACTTTAATGTCCGCTATAAATTAAATCAGCACATAAGAAATTAGCATATAAGAAATTAATTTTAAGCTTTTAAGCAGTATTTAATTTGGAGAGTTCTTTGCGTTAGACCCAATTTTTGGACAAAGAAAATAAGTTCACACAAAGGATCTTTGTCACTTTACCAGTGCCCCTTATTCTCCCCCCAACTGCTCCTGAGGGCCTTGGGAACAGGATGGGGTGTGGTGTGGGCAACAGCAATAAGGGGAAATAGGGCAGAACTGTGCTTCCCTCGATGCGTCTGTGAATGAGCAAAAGGGAGGCAACTTCTGACAATTCCCCACTCTCAGTAGCCCCTTATTCTTCACCCTGTGCTGTTCTGGATGCACACACATCCTCAGGAGTGGTGGGCTGGGCTGGAGTAAGGAAACTGGGATATGAAAGACATGAAATATATCATTAAATTCATAGAAAACTTGTAACTTTTCTAGTTCAATAATATTTGGTTTGTTGTTGTGGGTTAACTAGATTAAGCCATAGATTTTGTCACTGTATTTTTATGCATATTATTTTAAAAGGGCCTGATTTGCAAATGTTCTGAGAAATAAATTAATTTTATAATGCACCAGATTTGGACACTCAGGAACTGAATTAAAATTACTAGTGACTTCAGCCTTGTTCAGTGGTGAAGATGGTCAGAATTCACATGCCTCTATTAAATATGTAGGTATTGTGATGTATGCCACAAAGCCAGCACATCGGAGTATGTGCGTGTTTCTTTGCTTAAAAGGCATAAAGCTGATTTCAACAGATCCCAGTAGGCTTTTGATGAGGTGCATTTTATTTTCTGGAAACTTGTTTCATGTTTTATTATAACTTTAAAAATTTCAAGGTGATGTTTTAGACTGCCACATCTCCTAACAGACTGCATTTTCTACATTTTTAAAAAATTAGCTGTTCAATCCTGTTTCAAATAATGACACTGGAGAATATTACTGTGAAGCTGGAAATGGAATTGGACCACCTCGGAAATGCCCTGTGAAGCGAATGCAAGTTGGTAAGTGTCACCGAATAAGGAAAATAAGACCAGCAGAGGTGAAGTGTACTTAAAATTCCAAATCAGATGCTTTACTAAACAGAGAACATTGTAAGAAATGCAATGTACAAAATGCAGGAAGTGCTCCTTGGAAAAAGAAGGCACCTTTCCCCTTGTTTCACATTAAGAAAGCAAGTTCTGCTAACAACCAAACTATATATCAAGTTTAGAATCCAATCATCCGAGTATGTTAGTTACCTTCAAAAAGCAGCATTGCAAAAGAATCTTTCTACAATGCTTCCCAATTGATCTCCCTACCCCCCAATAGGACAAAAACAGACACATCATAGACCTCTCTCTTTTTTTCTTTTTTGTTCCTTTCCCATAGTAGGGTTTAAAGGATGTTGGGGGCCCATTTTCATTTGGGGAAATAGTACAGGGCATAGAGACCCTCCCACAGTGCCTCAGCCCTGATCCAATTTAGCTATTTCTTTTGAAGCTATATTAAACATCATGGGTTCTGATCTCAGATCCCCAACAGCGCAGGTAGTTTGCCTTTAGCTACACCATCAGTGCTCTTACTAAGCTAATTCCACTCCATAGTGTGTACTGCCTGGACCTAGAGACAGGCAAGGATTCTCTAATTGATTAACACAGGCCAAGGTTTCAGTTGTTTAGTTCCTTCATCTAATGCCACTTTCTAACATGGTTCTCTAGAAAAGTAGGTGCTAATCAGATTCATATGTTGCAAGGCAACTATAGGTTACTGTACCTACAACCTAAACAGCATGATAAAAAGTAGAGACATCACCCTGCCAACAAAAGTCCGCATGGTCAAAGCAATGGTATTCCCAGTAGTCATGTATAGCTGCGAGAGTTGGACTATAAGGAAGGCCGAGCGCCAAAGAATAGATTCTTTTGAACAGTGGCAGCTGTGTGCACCACTGGTGCTGGAGAAGACTCTTGAGAGTCCCTTGGACTGCAAGAAGATCAAATCAGTCAATCCTAAATGAAATCAACCCTGACTGTTCCCTGGAAGGCCAGATAATGAAACTGGAGCTCAATACTTTGGCCACCAAATGAGAAGGGAGCACTCACTGGTGAAGATCCTGATGCTAGGAAAGATTGAAGGTCAAAGAAGATGGGGACGGCAAAGGATGAGATGGTTAGACAGTGTCATAGATGCAACGAACATGAAGCTGAGCAAACTTCAGAGGACGGCGGAAGACCGGAAGGCCTGGCGTGATCTTGTCCATGGGGTCGCGAAGAGTCGGACTCGACTGTGCGACTGAACAACAACACCTACAATTAGAAATGAATCACTTCATTTAAAAATAATTTTCAGTGTGTCATGAAGATCATGACTTTTTGGTTTTAGATAGAGTTCTTTGAGAAATCTGCTGAATACTATGTTTGTTTTCAAACCAAATTATATAGGAAAAGCCCAAGCTCTTGATTGGGAGGAATCAGCATATGTGTGTGTATGCTGCTTCTTTGTAGAAGCTGATTCACCAACCGTGATTGTCACTCTTAAAAAAAAAAAAATCAGCTTCATTTCAATGAGAACTCATATTTTTCCAACTTGGGAAAATCAATGCAAGATGTATACCTATACAGAGACTCAAAACGTATGGATCTCAGATGTGACCTTAAATGGACCAGAATATCTTTCTTCCACTTGTTATAATTAGAGTGCCATTTCATTTTGATGATGCAACTGTTAGTACTGCAAGAACTAATTTGTAGGACCAATACTAGAATATAAACCTTCTTTTATTTATCTGGTCCATGTTAGTCAGATAAATATGTGTAAATATATTTATGATCACTCACTTAATCTTGGAACATCCAGTTAGGAGGTTCCTGGGAAACCCAATCGGAACTTTTGGTAGAAGAATGGAGTTCACCATAAAATGGCCATACTACCTACAGTATTCAAAGTGCTTTGTAGTCTTTATCCTGTTGGTTTTTGCAATAGCCTTCTAAGATAGATTCCAAAGTATGAATAATGATAGTCTTATTTAAGCGATGGGGAGGCCAGGGGCGTAGCCAACAAATTTTGGGTGGTGGGGCATTGAGAAATCCGGGGGGGTGGGCAGCAGGAGAGAGGGGGGGTGGGAGGAGAAGAAGACTTCCCCTCACCTCTCTGACTGTCAGAGAGGAGTGAGCTGCTGGGGTCCCCCCCCCCCCGCTTTTCCAGCAAAGG